AATGCATCTTAGAAGATACATTTGCCCCAATGGCCTTATAGTCCGTTATAAATTTCTTGACCAGTTCTCTGTAGTCGTTCAATTTTCTGTTTCCAAAAAACTTATTAATGAAGGCCTTAAATGAGTTTCAAGCGTTCTGTTGCAAATCAGTCAGCTTTGATGCAATTATGGAGTCATTCATTATTACATGTCTAATCTGAGGTCTTATAAAAACTCCTCCTAAGATTTTGGCATCACTCATCATTGGAAATGTCTTTTTGAGGTATTGAAAGACATCCGAGTTGCTTTTCTGAGTTTTTACAAAGTTCTTTATCAATCCAAAATTGATGCAAAGAGGTGGGAGGTAAATTTTATCTGACTGTGCTAGTGCACTGCGCTTCAAATTGTGTTTTCCTGTGACATATTTAGACCTTACCGGTTACTGCTACTGTAAATAATGCTGCTTATAAGCACGGCTATTTCACAAGCACAAGAAGCAGCAGTACTTTTTATAACCACTTTGCATACCTATCAGTAGTCCAATAACTTTAAAGTCAGCACAAATATTCTAGCCAAAATTTCTATAGTTAATTGACGCAAACATTTTTTCCGTGCTCTTATTTGATTCATATCTGCAGGATAAAGTATTGGCACAGAAGGCTTTAAGCAGCCATCGTGAGGAAGAATTGTCTTAAAGCTTGTAATGACAGCCAAGCTCATTCATAAGATCTTCTAAACCTTTACAGTAGCAGCACTTATCCTGTTCTTCAAAAAATTGTGAAAGATTTACATTTTGCTTTCTGTAACCTTCGCGCCCAAAGTGCATCAAAGCTGTCATCACTTTTATGAAATAAAGAAATAAACGCCAATTCATCACTTTTGACATTGTCAATGTCACTAGGAGGCAAACAGTCTTTATGAGACACAGGCCTAATCGCAGAACGTTAGTATATTAAATCTTTATTAGGATATTAAATCTTCTCTTTGTTCAGCACAGCAAAATAAAACAGCTAGATAAAATTTACCTCCCACCTCTTTGCATCAATTTTGGATTGATAAAGAACTTTGTAAAAACTCAGAAAAGCAACTCGGATGTCTTTGTCATGAAAAAATAGCAATCTGTGCTATGGTCTTTTGGATTTCTCCAAGTCATACAAATTGCAAATGATAAACTTCTTTTGCTCTAAAGCCATTGCGTTAAATTTGAGTAGCATAACACACAAATGATGCGTGGTGCCCATTTCTTGTCTTGGTCTCCAAACTTTATACTAAAGTTAGGATTGTAAGCAATTTGGACCATAAGGGTGACATTCTTACTCTGTAACTTTGTCGTGGTGAATAATCCACAAGCATAACAAAAACTGTCAGGATGGTTTACACATCTGTATCTCTCATCTTTTCAAACAAATTATTCAAATAAATTATACTTATTGCTTCAGCTAAACACGACATGTTTGCAGTTAGAGCCAGTTTTTAACAATTGACTTATAAAACTCTCACCTCAATGATAAAACACTTAATGAAAGCTTATTAAATACCAAACTGCTTTCCTATGCGGCCAAATGCTGCTGATAATAGCTACTATACCTAGGCCCACATAGGTAGCCAATAATGTCAGCAGATTCTGATATTATCAACAAAAAACAAATTCAGAACCATCTAAGATGGGAAATAGCAACTGTAACTATAAAAATAGCTGTATGACGAATGACAACATGATGATTTGTTGCATGGAGAAAATATAACGCATTGCAAAAATTAAAATGTAATATAAAATAAAGAAATATTCTGACTACATATTTGAAATCAGCAGCATTAATATATATAAAATCGCTAAACATCTTACAAGTTGTGGAAAATGTAAATTGATGGTGCGTAGACTTGAAGGTTATCAAAAATAATTTGATCAATACCTTTTGAAATTTTAAACTGTTGAATCAGATCACCTTGAACTCTCCTTTCTTTAAGAGTAGTTAAGCCGAGATGAAAGAGTCTTTCTTCATATGACAAATGCTTTATTTCCGTTATTGTTTTAGTGGCTTTATGCTGTACTTGTTATAGAATAGCAACGTCTTTTTCATTGTGTGGTGACCAAGCCTGGATAGCAAATTCTAACTGGGGTCTTATATATTTTTTGTAGAGTACTTTTCATAAAAAGAGTCCACGACTTCTAAAAATTTTCTTTAGTCTACCAAGTTTACTGTTGGCTGTTGCTGCTGCTGATTCGACTTAATAGCTTACTTTAAAATCGTCTGATAGAAGTACTCCCAGATCATGTTTGTGTTTAGTGACGTCCAGTTGAACTCTGTTTCGACTCAAATCAAGCATCGAATAAGTTTGAGTAGATTTAGAGTAACCACGCCCGACGTGCATAACTTTACACTTATCGAAGTTGAGAGGCATATTCCATTTATGCGACCAATCTACAAGATTATCTATGTCAATTTGAAATGTTCTTTTGTCCTCCTCCGATTTTAGAACTGCGATTATTTTGCAATAAATTAGCATAAATCTTTATGTGATGAGTAATATAGTCCGGCAGATCGTTTATATATAAGATAAAAAGAAGTGGACCGAGTACAGAGCCCTGGGGTACCCCGATTGTTACATATTTCCATTTAGATTTATGCTTGCCGATTACAACCCGATAATAACGATTCGTTAACCAGTTTGCTATCAAGTCTAAAACTATGTCGTTTATACCATAGGCTTTAAATTTGTATAAGAGTTTGACATGTGGAACTTTATCAAAAGCTTTTGCAAAGTCAGTGAAGATGATATCAGTGGCGCAGCCTTGATGCATTGCTTCGGTTAGTATATCCCGAGTTTCAAGTAAGTTCAATGTGCATCCTTTACTTTGAAGAAATCCGTGCTGTTCTTTGGATATTAGGTTAGTGCTAAGACAGTGATTTATAATTTTTTTGTGTATAATACCTTCTATAATTTTGCAGGGTACCAATGTTAGTGAGATTGGTCTATAATTGGCTCGGTTCTGCTTGCTGCTTTGTTTAAAAATTGGGGTGACATTTGATCTTTTCCAAAGGTCTGGAACCTGTGAATCGCAAATTGGTTTTCGGTAGATCATAGCTAATGAAATTGCAAATGCTGACGCGCAGTTGCGTAATACTCGTGAGTGTATGTCGTCATATCCTTTTGACTTAGTTTCAATGAGCTTTTTTAGTCTTTCTTGAACTGAAGTCACCGATATGAAGTTTAAGTTTATAGTGCAAGATACATTTGTACGCGATCCGAAATCTGGCAGCGAATCTAGTTTTTCAGTAGTGAATACAGAATGAAAGTAATTGTTAAGAATATCTGAAATAACTGCACCGTCGGTTATAATGTTTTTAATGTCAGCTTCGAGAGCTTGAAGTGAGTTATTAGTTTCTTTACTTTTGATGTGATCATAGAGTTTCTTTGGGTCATTTTTGAAAACACTAGCTAACTGATTTCGTATCTTTTAATAGCTTTTTTTATTACCTCTGATACATGTTTACAAGCTATTTTATGCTTACTCCTGAGTGCTTCATGTGTTTTAGTTCCAGAAGCGACATATTGCCTCCAGAGATTACGTGTTTTCCAGAAATGTGTTGTCGAGTATTATTAACTTTGGTGCTTATCTTATAATTGTAATCAAGCTGTTAATAGTGCAATCTAGGTTTGGTAAACTGTTGCAACTTTTGCTGTATGACACAAAGTTTTGAAATTTTAATTAATTTAACAAGCAATATTCCTTTCCGCAACAGAAATATGAAAAATAAATATGGAAATAATTTTTGCAGAGGCTGCTTACAAACCCTTGGTGACACCTCTTATTTTAAGAGCGACTGATTAATCAGCAATGCCGCAGAGTACAACTCGATATATTATTTTTTTTTACAACAACTTTTACTTTTACAGGATACAACTCGATATATATATATTTTTTTTTTATAATTATTGATTTATAGTTTTTTAATGACGATTAAAAATAAAAATATTAAAATTATTGCATAAAACGCCAAGGTACAAAAATATGCAAAATACAAGAAAAAGAGCAAATCCATTATCCAAATCCAAAGTTAAACCACAAACATTATTTTTAATAATAATTTTGTTAATTTTTTGTTGTAATAAAAAAATTCATGAATGCAAATATCGTTTTTTTTTTTTAATTTAAAAAAGCACAGCTACTAAAAAAAATGAACGAAAATTCCAAAGAAATATTAAAGGAAAAAAGTTGAACAGAAATGATTCTAAAGAAATAATGAAAAACAAGTTGGGCAGAGATGATTCTAAAGAAATAATGAAAAGCAAGTTGGGCAGAGATGATTCTAAAGAAACAATGAAAAACAAATTGGGCAGAGATGATTCTAAAGAAATAATGAAAAACAAAAGTTGGACAGAAATGATTCCCAATTTATTCCATGATTAAATTTATTAAATGATTAAAATTATTCCATAATTTTTTCTAATTGTCTTTAATTTTAATTATTGTGCTTCAATGTTGTTTAAAATGCAAATATTTTTCATATTTTAATTTTGATTATTAAAAGTAATGAGTTGTTATTAAAATTTATACTTTTAGTTTTGTGATTACTTTTTTTAGTTTTATTAAATATTAAAGTTAAGCAATTATGCATAAAAAATGTCTCTGGAAAGTCGGAAAATGTCACAAATGGTTTCTTCATAAATATTTTTTCCGAAAATTATAAAATCACAACTTCACCTAAAAGTGAAACAATGTGTCGAATAAATTTTTACATAAATAAGTTGCAGATAATTTAAAAAAAAAAAAAAAAAAAAAAAAAACCATCAAAAATTTATATAAATATTTATACTCAAAATACTTTACATAATAAATATACTTCAAAAACAAAATTCATTTTTAAATATCAACTATAAAAAAGTATCAACTATAACAAAAGCAAAAACTAAACAAACAAGATTCGTTTTCAGATTAAAAAAGAATCCAAATAAAGTCATGCGTTAACTCTTGGTTTTCTTTATTTACAAGTTTCAAGCTAAGCAATTAAAAAAAAAAAAAAAGTAAAAATATTTAAACGCGTATAAAAAGATCTATTCGGAATCTATTTCAAATTCATTTCATTTTTCCTCATTTGTAAGTTTATCATGCTACAAATTGAGAGGTAAGCAAAGCAAATAGATGATCCAATTTCAACCAATTTCTGCCTAATCCAACCAATTTTTGGTAAATTTTCCTTCGACAGCATGTGAAGAAGCGGTTTTCTTTTTTAAACACAAACATTGTTGCAAACACTTTCAGAATTCACTAAAAAACGCGTTTAGAAATCACCAAATAACGCGTTCACAATTCAAACGCGTTCAGAAAACCCCGAAAATACGAGACTACCAAAACTAAAAAATAAATTTAAACATAACATTAGTGAAAATATTTTATGAATTATTTTGTCAGGGTGTCTGCCAATATCTTAAGGTGGATTTCCCTGATTTCATTTTTTTTTTTTTTTAACATCGCTTCCAACAAGGCTGCAAGCAACCACTAATTAGTGTTGGAAGTTACTGGAAGAGAAAAGATGAAGATTGTAGACCAAGATAACGATTGACAGACGACTTAAAAGATTGCAAATTATATTAATCAGGAAAGCAAGATGAAGGAAGCGAATTCCAAAGAACTGATATTCGAGGAAAAAAACTAGACGAGTAAGAGTTTTTGAAGCATTTAGGAACAGTAACAAAAAAAGGATGAGACTTAATTGAATGACGAGTAACACGAGAATGAATTTTAGTAAATGGCACAAGAGACGCTAGCTCTTTAGAGCAGTGCCCGTTATAGTATTTGTAGAAAAGAGAAAGATAAGCAACATTACGACGATGTGACAGAGGTTGAAGGTTGGCTGCAAGAGCAGGTCCAACTATGTTTACAATGCGTTTTTGCACCTTGTCTAAAAGAGAAAGGGCGTCATTAGAAGATCCGCCCCAGATATGGCAACAGTATTCCATACAAGGTCGGATTTGAGATTTATAGAGATAGAGAATAGAATCTAGAGTAAGAAAGTGTCGAGCTCGATAAAGAGATGCAACTTTAGCAGATACTAATTTTGCAACGGATTTGATATAAGGTTTCCAAGAAAGATCAGAAGTGAGAGTTAATCCTAGAAGATGAAGGGTAGATGACTCATTGAGTACATTACCGTTCCTAAATATAGGAAGGTCTAAATTATTGCGATAACGATTGGCTAAAAAAAATTGAGTTTTATCTGAATTAAAGTTCACTAGCCACTGTGAGCCCCATGCTGTAGCAGAAGTGAGATCCTTTTCAAGCTCAAATGCCCCCTGCAAGCAATCAGAGAGAGTTGGCTTCTTATTCGGACAAGAATAAATGGTAGTATCATCAGCGAATTTAAACTCAACTTCAGAAAAACTAGGCTTAGATTCTTTTGGAAAAATCCTCTTCAATTGCAAAAATATAAACATTAATACAACCCACATTTAAAGTATAAAGAGAAGTTTATACAACCCAGCGGACATTTGTTTTTGAAAGTTACGTTCTAAATGTATTTTAAATGTATTTTAAACGTCTTCTAAACATTCTTACGTAACAACGTTTAAAAGACATTTAAAAAACGTTTAAAAGATAATTAAAACGTAACTTTGAAAAACAAATGCCCGTTGGGAACTGACTGTAGAATAAAATTCTATATTATCTATACGATATACAACATACTTAAATTATGCAAGTTTGATGAAGAGCCATTTTCCCTGATTTCTTCCTGATATTTCCAAAATTTAACCTAATTTCCCTGATTATTTCCTGATTTTTTTTACAGATATCTAAATTCCCTGACTTTTCCCTAGTCTGGAAGACAATCTGGTTGTGTGTGCTAACAATATTCATGCACCCTTATAAAAAGTGAATTAAAAAAAAATAAAAACAGTTTCTTTATGAAAAAAATTGACCACAACAAAAATTCGTAACTTTAATTAATTTGTAATTTTTTTGTTTTTGTTCTAAAGTTTTAATGGTAGGCTGTAAATTTTATATTTATTCTGATAATTTGATGTGGTTATAATCTAAATATTTTATAATATATATTATTTTAATATATATTTATAATCTAAAATTATAAATATATAAATGTAAAATCATTCGGTTGCAGGTTGCATATCTATAAGAATAATTTACCTTTGATTTGAAACCTTTAACCCATCCTACCATTGAGCCAACAGCAGAATCTCGCTGAGCAAACATAGTTTGTTGGGAAAGTACTGTTTGAACGTGTTCTTCGTCTTGAGCACTATATAAAAGTTTTCAACATTAAAAACCTTGTTTATACCTTTAATTAAAAAAATGATAATTTTAATAAAATAATAAGTAATGTAATTATATTTTATTTTAATAATTATATTATTAAACAATATAATTGTTTTATTATTATGAAATATATTTAAAACTATTAATAAACGCATTTTTTAATCATTACACAGGTCTACAAAAAATACTTTTTTTCTGTTGTATGAAATTAAACAGATTTTTATGTAATTTTAAACGCCGAATCTAAATATAAACTGTGTTTTTGTTAGAAAGCTTTAATTTTTTTGCAATAACTAATTTATTAATTTTTAAAAAGTTTTCACAGGTATTTTTATTGAATAGTTATGAAAAAAAGTAATCATGTCATTTTTTTTTTTTAGATCAAATATATAATATGATGACTTCTTCAAACCGACATAAGTTAATGCATAACTCATAAAGTAACTCATTCTGTTATACACCTGTTCGGCAAAAACGAAACCTTCCTTATTTTGTAAAACTAGCATATAAATTGAATTTTGATATTTTTCCTGGTGACCAAGACAAAAAGTGGGCTCCACATAATGTGTGTTGTATTTTTAAAAAAAAGTCTTCAAGATTGGACATAAGGAAAAAGAAAGAATTTACCTTTTGGAGTCTGCATGGTTTGGCAAGAACCCGTAAATCACATTAACGACTGCTTTTTTTGTCTTGATACCACTGGCACAATAAAGAGGCAAAAAATAGCTTGCCACAGTATTCCCTCTGCTATTAGGTTTATTTTTGTCAGATAATGAACAAAGCATGTCTGCTTCAGAAACGGAAGAATTTTTATCAGATATGGAAGACTTCTTATTTAATACTAAACAAGTCTAATAGAACTGAACAACTTAGTTTGAGATTTAGGACTTTCTAAGCATGCAGTAGAGTTATTAGCATCTCCATTAAAGGAAAAGAACCTACTTTAGATAGCTTTGCAAAAGTTTCTTACTTAAGAACAAGAGTTCATCCTATGTTAACTTTTTTTCAGAAGTCAATTTATTTGTTTATTTCATGTTTATTTCATGATATATTGGGTATTTCTGTATACAATCCAACAGGATGGAGACTTTTTATTGATAGCTCAAAGCCTCAAATGCATTACTGGTCATTCTGTTTATTTGCTTATTTGCATTCTGTTTATTTGCTTATATTCAGTTTATAGACTTATGATATTAAAATGGTGCTTAACTTGATTAAAAATTACTAACACAACTGGATTATCGGGCTTGGTCGGGAAGCGGATGAGATCACTCTCTATTCATGACCATGAATATAATATTTAGTTGCGACAACTTGAATTCAGCTTTTTAGATATTTTGAGAACATTCAAATTTATGTGTGTTTCCATGTATGTTGGAAAAATTAAGTTTTAACACATTAAAAAACTTAACTTTGTAACATTTATCTTTTTCAATCAAATGTCTTCATATTAACAAAACGCTTTTTAACAAAGCGATGATTTACTTTTATTGATTGTTAATAAAAAAAAAAATTTTTTTAAAGTTTTATTCAAAATTATACAAAGTTTAGTAAATTATATAAATATAGATTTTAGTAAATTATATAAATATAAAATTAAAAATTATATAAAAAATAAAGTTTAGTAAATTATATAAATACAAATTTTTTATTATTTAGATGTAAATTTTTTAAAACAACTAGTAGGATTGATTTTTTAAAAAAAGACTTTCAACAACAACTGCATTTTTAATGAAATTTAGAAAATGATCATTAAAGTTAATAAAACTAATAGTCAAATAAACATACAGGACTTTACAAGCAACTGAACACAAACATACGTATGCCAGAGGTTTGAACAAAATACAAATATACATTTATATAAAGGGACTTATGGGTGAACCAGCACCACACTAGAGGTCCATACAGAACACAAACATGCAAATATATTAAAAAGCTCACTCACTGAACATCATCAACTGTATTGTGAAGCAGTTCTGTTTCTTCTTCATAAATTATTTTTAATTTTTTAGTTTAATCATAAAAGTTTGCTTTCAAATAATTTGATGCAATAAAAGTAATAAAAGTATTACAAGCATCCTACACAAGTGAATAATATATTTTTTATTGCACTTATATGCAGGGCCAGATTTACCTACAGGCCAATTAGGCTGCAACCTAGGGCCCCACAATTTAGGGTGCCCTAAAATTTATTCAAAACATGTTTGCCAGAGTTTTCAGGCAGTTATTAAAAACTTTTAGTTTGAAAAATACATACAAAAATTTTAATTCACTTAGATTGTAAAGCGCCCCTAGTATATTAATTTGTAATATATATTATAGAACATATTACATAAACCAATGAAACTAAATTAAATATAAACATATTAAATCTAAACTTAGTATGCAGTTTAGACACTGATTATTATAGACTGTTAATTTAGGGGTTTAGTACATTGACAAATTTTTTTAAACATTTTAAAGACACTGCTAAAAAGACACTTGCTTTTTTACTTTTTAAATTTAACATTAGTTTTATTAGAATCTAGCTGAAATAAAGCATAAATTAGGAATTATAATATACTCTTTAAAAATTTGAAGAACCTTTGTTTCTTTGTTAAAAGATCATTATTAGTAAGTTGTAACTTTATATAAAAAAGAGAAGTTTAGAAATTATTATTCTAAATGTTTTTATAATTTTTTATTTGAGTTTCTTTTTTTTTGTTAAGAATTCATTTCATTTTTTAGTAATAGTCTTCCATGAGTCAAGTTTTTTTTTGCGCATTTTTGAAATGTTCTCAAAACATCTAAAAAGCAAAGTTTTTGCATCTAAATATTATAAGCGTGATCAGATATAGAGTGAGATTGCACCCGCTTCCAGTGATGGATTCAGGATTTTTTGGTGTTTGAGCTAACAGACATAAAGCAAACTCCAAACATTTGTATCCTTATACTTATGTCAAATAATGATGCTTTCCAAAAAATTGCAATGACTGAAGGCTGGGAACGAAAAAACCCACCAAGCCTGGATTACTTGTGTAGATTTTAAAATAGTTAATTTTTTCCTTGGTCAGCAGAAAAGTTTTACAAAATTTCCATGTTATCTCTGTATGTGAGACAATTGAGCAAGAAATCAACATTTGATACAAAAAGAATGGCCCATTCGCAACACTTTCACAGTGGGCATGCAAAAGATTGTGAATGAATCCATTGTTTGTTGAAAAATAAAAGTTTTTCAGCTACTCCATCTTAAACTTGGATTCATGAAACAATTTGTTAAAGCACTAAAAACTGATGATTGCTATTAGTACAAAGTTACAGCAGGTTTTTCAATAGAAAAAAAAGGCAGGAATTTTTAATAAACCATAAATTTGCTATCATAAATGATAAAGAGTTCATTAAAACAATGAATAACAAAGAGAAAACAGCTTAGTTGTCGTTTGTGGTTGTTGTAAAAAACTTTCTTGGAAATAAAAAAGCAGGAAACTAACCAAATTTAATTGATAAAATGTTGAAAGCTTTTTGTGATCTTGGATGCAAAATGAGCATAAAACTTCCTTTTACAATTAGTTACCTTGACCTTTTCCCTGAATTTTGAAAACTTATTCTAATGATGTGAGTGAAGAGCAAAGAGAGCAATTTTACCAAAATCTCAAGACAATCAAAGATTGTTACCATGGATATTGAGACAAATATATAATGGCAGACTACTGTTGGCGTATTAAATGAGAAGACTCGTTTATAAACATAAGAGCAACAAGTAAAAGTTTTTTCCTGATTGAAACTAAACAATATTAAGGCATGCTATCGGAAAAATCTGCCTTTCTTTTGCGGTGTGGTAAAGCTAGTTAACGGTCGTTTTTTGAATTTATTTTTTTGTGTGTGGTAGTGTTTGTATAATAGAACATTTTGGCAGAAAAAAATAATTAAAAATATTATTTAGTTTCAAATAATTAAAAATATTATTTAGTCAACCGAGCAAACTAAACAAAGATTTTTGATTGTGGACAAACACTTAAAAAATCCAACTTTATTGAATAGAAAGTTGGCGAAATCATTAAAAATATCAAGAAAAACTGTAGATACTGTTCTTAAACGGTTTACAGAACAGAAAACTATTTAGAGAAAACAAGGAAGTGTTTGAAAAAAACGCACAGCAAATCCTAGAGCTCTCGCACGGTTGGAGACTTCATTGGAAGAACATCCTGATTGGTCTGATAGATTTCGAGCAAAAAAACAGAAGGTTTCCAATTTTTTTGTACACAAATGGCAACAGAGATTTGGATATCAAAGTTTTAATGTAGTTAAAATGCCAAATTGCAACAATAAACAAAATTCAACCGCAAAGAGTCGAGCTTGAAAGTTGTACGACAACTTGTTAACAAAACATAATGGATGCTTTTTGATGGATGACGAAACTTATGTTAAAATGGATTTTAAACAAATTCCTTGGCAGTGCTACTATGCTTCTAAAATAAGAGAAAATGTGAGTGTTAAATACAAGTATGTAATGAAAAAATTGATGATTTGGCAGGCACTTTGCTCTTGCGGCAAAAAATTGCCAATTCATGTTTGTTTGGGCACAATGAAATCTTCGGAATACGTGAAATGTTGTCTTTCTTGTATAAAACGAATAATTAAAGCTCATAGAAGTACTTCAGTATTGTTTTGGCCTGATTTAGGCACAATACATTACTCAAAAGATGCTCAAAAAATTTTACGATGATAATGGAGTGATCTTGGTTCCGAAAAAGATGAATCCTCCAAACTGCCCCAAATTACGTCCTATTGAAAAATATTGGTCCATCAAAAAAAAGAAATTGAAATTAAGTGGAAAAACAATAAAATCAGCTACAGATTTGAAGAAAAAATGGGATTCGCTGCTAAAACTTACAAAAATCACTCTGTCCAGAAACTTATGGGAGGCATCAAAAAGAAAGTCAGAATTTTCTGTAAAACTTAATTTTTTTTTGTTTTTTCCCTATTAATATGTAATCTTTACAGCCTTAATTTTTCAGAAATATATTGATTTAAATACATTTAAGCTTTCTTACATCCTTTTTTGATCAAGAAAGGTGGGCAGATTTTTCCGATAACATGCCTTATCTGCAATATTTTTTAAAATTAAGTAAAACATTCTGTTATCTATCATTAAAAAGTTGATGACTTTAATAGGAACTTTTATAAAATGTATTTTTTAATTAAATACCTTTGCTGCAGTTGGGAATCTTCAAGTTGCACAAGTTGATTTCTTTGGTTTACTAACACCACTAACTGAGTAAGTAATGCTTCTTCACGTTTATGTGTCTCCTCAGTTTTCTCGCGTTCTAGATATGTTGTAAATTGAGTACTTTAAATGAAATGTTTAAAAACAGCGAAAGAAGTGAAAAAAAAAAAAGATTTATTAGTACCACTCATAGCACTCAGAATACGCAATTCCCGATTAATAACTTCACAGCGACTTTCTAAGTCGTCACCTTGAGCTCTAAACAACAATTCTTTATTTATTATTATAATAATAATAATTATTTTGTGTGTGTGTCTGTCCGTGTGTGTGTGTGTATATATATATACATATATATATATATATATATATATATATATATATATATATATATATATATATATATATATATATATATATATATATATATATATATATATATACATTTTTGAAACTTGAATAAGGTAACTTTGTGAAAACACTGAAACTTATCCTACCACTTCTTGGTTTTTCTTTGTTCAAAAATTTAAGTCAAATTGTTACTAACTGCCTGCAATAAGGATGTAATTGTAATTGGAGATGTAATTGTGAATTGGAGCTTGAATGAAGTGAACTTGAAAAAATGAAAACACTTAAGTTTATCATGAGAGGAGGAAGAAGAAATAATATAAACACAGCTTTCGTGAACTAGAAGCGTGCTCTAATAGCAGAGCTGAAACTACTACTCCTTGGTTTTGTATCCCCAAAGATAGAAGATGCTTAACTGTAGTAGCCCACTCTGAAAAAAACTAATAGCTCTATATGTATTACTATTTTTTATATTTAACATTAAATTAATTGTGAATGCATATAACATTCATCGGAATTAGGAAAAATGAGGTCGCCAATAATTTGCTAACCTTAATCTTTTTGAAGTCGGCATCAAGTCAGCAAAAATTATTTGATACAAAGGTCTGACTATAAAATATAGAAATGAGGTTGGCAATTTTTTGCTAACCTCAAACACTTTCAGGTCGGCGGTTAGGTTGGCATTGCCGAATTCCGACCCTAATTCCGAGGGTTGAACACTAAATGTTTTTTAAATTACAGCAAAAATGCAAACTTAATTGATTTGAATCTTTTTTTTAATTAATCCAAAATGTGTTTGCTTTTATTTTTCAATGTTTTATACTGTTTTTTATTATTCAATTTTAGTTGTTTCATTTTTTTTTGGACTGATTTAATTAGAAATTAGCGCAGTGGATACATTGACTGACTTAAATAGGTAAAACATATGAGGAGTATACATCCATTGACTGACTTAAACAGGTAAATGTTAAATATTTTGGTGCATTTTACACAAAAAAAGCTTGACGTTCTTAAAGAATACAATCAATAAATTAGTAAAAAACTAAAATATATTATCACTATATATTATTGCTAAACATAGTAGTATTAATGCTCATTTGTGTGTGTTGGCACGAAATCGGTGGCAGCCTTTAAATCCGAGATAATAGGGAGAAAGTCTCTTAACACTTTTTTATGAGAAAATTTGAACGAAAGTCTATGTAAATACCTACCTCATGTAAATTTTAAGATATAGAAAAAGTAAAGATTCTTAAAGGTTTACAGTTTTCTACAAATAAGTTTAGTTTGCTTAAAGAAAAGGGGTATGTAATATGTATATATATATATTTAGAATACAATAAACTATAAAATTAACGTTTTGTATTTTAAATAAAAATTAAAAGAAAAAAAAAGCAAACTAATGATTTGAACTTGCCACGCGGTGACCTTAACTTTTTCAAAACCAGTAAGAGGGTTATAAAAAGTGTGTTTTTATTAAGAACATAATTAAAAATCCCAACTTTATATTCAAAACATCTTTTATTAAATTAATTTTATCTAAAAATAAAAAAATGTTAAAATTACCTAATATTAAGGTAATAAGAAAATTTAGAGTTTTACAACTATTTTACCACGCCTCTATAAAATATTCTAAGCCGAGTGCGCAACAATGACAGAATGTAAAAAACCATCAAAATAGTATTATATTCCACAAATTATTAGAAGAGTGAACTCAAATACTTTTAACTTATAATGTACGAGGCATTGTAGATGTGCATGTGGTAAATATTTGAATTTCTTATTTAACTTTTAAAAATCTATGAAATATTTTTAAATCTCTCTATTATCAATTTCATAGATAATAAAATTATTGAATATACTTTTATTTATAAATAGTATGTATACTTAATAATTTTTATTAAGAATTTCACTAGAAGCAGCTAGATTGGAGAAAGTTCTAACACAGCAGACTGCAGTCCCAGTCTCTTGTTTAACTTTAAACAGCTCTTCCTCAACTTCTTCTGATTCCGATGATAATTTTGTCATCCCATCAACATCAACCAATTCTACAACAGCTTCAATGAAGTTAAAGAAATCCATCATCACGAATGAAGTGGCATCTGCACTTGACCGAGTCAACCTTCCTGATCGAGGTGCCATATTTGTTGTTGGGGCAGTGGCACAAGCACTTGGTGTGGAGTTAGATGATGTGGCTTTGTTTCATAGTACCATTAAATGTGCTCGTATGGCCATACAGAAGGCAGAAGCAACTGCACAACAGGCATCATTCTCATCCAACGCAGATTAAAAAGTCTTTGCCTGTGCCACGTCCAAAAGATTGGACGTGGCACAGGCAAAGAACAGTGTAATGCCTGCTTACATACATTAGAGGACTGGCAACTCAAACCATTGATTCAAGGATTTGTCTTCGATACAACGGCTTCCAACACAGGATTGAACACCGGTGCCTGCACTCTACTTGAAAGAGCTCTGGAAAAGAAACTTGTATGGATTGCTTGTCGCCATCATGTGTTTGAGGTCGTGCTCGCCAATGTGTTTTCTGCTGTTCTTGGACCATCTAGTGGACCTGAAATAGGCCTGTTTAAACAATTTCAAACTATGTGGCCATTCATCAACAAGGATGATTTTAAGTCTGCACCTGACATCCTCTTTAAAGGTATGCTCATTGGTCTTCATGCAGATATAATATCATTTTTATAAACAGTATTAATATTTGTGTTAATCATTTTAAAGCTGTTTTAATGAATTACAGTGTTCCAAAAAGTCTTATTCGTTTAGTTTTTTCCCTTGAACATCTGTTCTTTTTCATTTCTTTCCATGAATGACAATTCAGAATTTGCTTTTTTCATCTTGCTTTCCTGATTCTAATAATTTGCAATCATTTAAGTTGTCTGTCAATTGTTATCTTGCTCTATAAACTTCATCTTTTCTTTTCCAGTAACTTCCAACTCTAATAGTGGTTGCTTGCAGTTGAAAGCAAAGATGTTGAAAATATATATAAATATATTTAAATTCCTTAGTTCTATATATTAAAATATATAGAACTAAGGAATAAGTATAGAAAAGGTTGGTGCGGAATAAATTTACCAAGACCCATATTTTACGGGTCAAGACAGTTAGTATTATACTATAATATATAACAATAATATTATAATACAAGATAAAATACTATAATATTTAACAATAATTTATAATATATAAATTTAATATAAAACTATATAACAAATTGGTAAAATTATTGTATTAAACTATTATATTATCTAACTTAAGCCTATACTGTCACTCAGTTAGTAAAAGAAAACACTTATCCAACTTGAGCTTCTACTGTCATAGGAACACTGGCATAGGAACAGGGGGGCGGAGAGGTGATAGCCCCCCCCCAACTAAAAACACTGGAAGGGGCGGACACTGCATTTAGCCCTCCCCCCATTTCCTAAACAGTTTAAAAAAAACTTTTATGATAGCAACAGCGGAATTATCATTTTCCAGTCTATAATGACTCAATCACAATTAAACATCATCATAGAAAAGTATATCCATAAAACTGTTTAAGATATTGTTTACTAACTATTTTTTAAGTGAATGTGTGCTGGCAAAAGATGACTAATCACATTAAAAAGATGATTAATCACGTTGTGTGTGATAAATAATTGAATAATTAGATCATCTTCCTACGCCACTGTATATATATATATATATATATATATATATATATATATATATATATATATATATATATATATATATATATATATATATATATATATATAAATATATATATATATATATATATAAATATATATATATAAATATATATATATATATATATATATATATATATATATATATATATATATATATATATATATATATATATATATATATATATATATATATATATTAAGTGAGCATTTTTAGAAAACGATGATGAAAAACGAAGAATAATGAATGAAAAGGTTGCTGACCCATACCAAACCCTCAGTCGATGTAGCAGCACTTCACTGCGAGTCAGGTTATTTTTCAGTCGATGTATGTACTGAAGCCCCTGCAGCAGGCTATTTCAGTATGACATCATCATGCTCACCTAACTCAGTATAAGATATATATATATATATATATATATATATATATATATATATATATATATATATATATATATATATATATATATATATATATATATATTAGTTTTAATATTACTACTATCACATTACAATTTTTTTAAATTAAAAAAACATAGACATACAACAAAGCTATTTCATTTTGTCTTCGAATTATATCATTTTTTTTATTAACTAAGTTGAACCATTCTTGCAACAAATCCTCTTCCTCCTCTTTAATACCTGCAAAAATTATTTTTACATGTATAAAACATTTGTACACACATAGCATATTTATTATCATATATAAAATATTCATGTACACAAGTATAATATTTATATAAACTTGCCAAATATTTATACAGCCAATGAATGTTTTGATTTTTAATAGCTTAAAGAGTGTTAAAAGTTACAACTGCCACTTACTTGGTCCATATATGTATATATACAGGGAGTAATAACTCAAAGTTTTATAAAAATATTAAAAATGATCAATTTAAATTGGACAAAACAAAATCATAATAACTTTTTTGCCCAATAAATCGACACATTAGAATTATAGGGTCTGCCTTTTTTTATGTTGTGAGAACTTAACTTTCAATATTTATTTAATACATGTTTTACAGCTGTTATTCATTATAATTATAAATTATAAGTTGTTTATGTTACCTATATTTCATTATTTAACATATTTTATATTAAACCACTTAAAAAATGATATATAATATATCATTTTTTAAGTGGATTGTTTTTATTATTTATTATTATTTAAAACTTTGATTGTTAAATTCTTTCAACATAAAACAAGGCAGATAGAACCCTATAATTCTCATGGGATGAAATATTAATCCAAGGCTGGTAATAAGTTAATTGTGCCAGCAGCTAATAATGGTAAGACTGGGTAACAAATTTCAATAAAAAAATTCCATGATCAATAGTTAGTTATACATTAAAAGTTTTTCAACAACAGAATTATTTTTAAGTATTGTCAAAGAAATCGATTTCTCTCCATGATAATTTTGCAGCGAGATCAGCAAAGACAAATCCACCCAAGAGTGCCAAATAAATTTATAGAGAATTCACACATACACATCAAATTTTCTGCTTTTATGCGACAGCAAAAAATAAAACAACCTTTTTGGCCACCGCCTTTTTGTTTTTAATTAATTTGGTTTTAATTAATTAATGTCATGTATATAAAATGTTGCCATTGCAAAGACAACATTTTATATACACGAATTAAAAAAAATATGAATTAATTGGTTAGAAGGCAAAAAGCCTTCTAACCAATTATTATCATTATATACAGGTTATTATACTAAAGTTATTATATTAACATTATATACAAGTTATATAATTATCATTATATACAGGTTATGTAACAGAGATAAGGTTATGTAACAGTATAACCTATTACATAACAATATATACATTATGTAACAGAAATCATTATAAAAAATATAACTTTACATTTTTTATAATAAAACTTAAAAAAATGAATGTTTCATGTTAATTAACTTTATGCCTCAATATAAATAAATGGCACTCGGGTTTTTTATATGTTTTACCACGGACCAACCCTTTGGTAAAGGGTTTTCTAATAGGACCCTTTCAAAAAACCTTTTTTTACACACCAAAAAGTTTTCTAGTGGTAGAAAACCTTATACAAGTGTAAAAAAATTTTTTGGAAACCTTTTTTTTTTACAGTGTATGTTTGCGGATGATACTAATTAATTTTTTTTATCTGATAACAAAATTAAAAAACTTTTTACTTTTATAAATAAAGAACTCAAAAATATTCCAAGTTGGTTCAAAGGCAATAAACTTACCCTAAATATTAAAAAAAATTGATTCTTTTTCATTTGACAACTAAAAAAGTTATCAAATGAAAAATCAGGAATGTTTAATGCTTAAAAAAATGTAACATTTCATAACAATATATACATTATGTAACAGAAATCATTATAAAAAACGATGAAAATTTATCATTTGTTGAAGAAATATTGTTTTTGAAGGATTTTTTTTGTTCAATTACTTACAAGCTGATCATTTTCATACTTTTAATAAAATTTTGAGTAATTCCTTAATGCGAAACCTTTTCATAATTTTCATAGTTGTAATATAAATTGACATTATACAACTTATGCATAATTTTCTTAAAAAATTTCCTTAATAATAAATGTTTGTCAAATTAATTTTTGCCGCTACTGTATATAAATAATATATCCTTAAATAGGTCTTGATCCCAACCAACTCTTCTCAGCAAGGATTACAGGTTTAACAATGATAGGCTAATACTCTTAAAATATTTGCTTCACCATGTCATTCTAAAATTCTTAAATAATTAAAAACATAGCCTATGGAGTTCACTCTAAACACCTGAATCAAAAAAGAGAAGTTGCAAACAGCTATTTGAGACTTCTTATTCCAGATAAACATATTTTAAATAATACCTTCTGACATGGCTTTTCTAAGTTCATGTTCAAGTTTTTGGGCAACTGAGTCCAAGGCCTTTGTTTCTTTATGGAGTTCTGTTAGTTCACTGTTGTAATACTCCCCAGCAGATCGCAAGTTCTAAAGTTTTATTTATAAATATAATCAAAAACAAATATATATAGAATAAAAACAAAGTAAAACAACAAACAATATTGTTTAAAATACTTACAAAGTTTTCTAGCTCATAAAAGTAATCATCAACAGGCTAAAATAGAAAAAAAAAACAAATAAATATACAAAAACTTCTACAACTCAGGTTGTAATTATGGTTGCTTACATGTAAATATAAAAAACACTATAAGTTATAAAATGTGTTAAATTTGTTAAATATTATAAAACATGGTGTTCTACTTGATTATTTCATTTAACTATTAAAAAAAATACTTTTTTAAATAATTAAATTCATGTTTTAGAATGCTTCTATAAACAATTCAATAAAAATAAAAAATAAAATTGCGTTTTAGAAAAAAAAAAGTCTTATCTGAAGTCTTTTTCTAAAAAAATTATTTTAAATAAGTAAAACGACAGCCTGCTTCAAAAAAAAAGTTTTATCTGAAATTTCTTTCTAAATAAAACGTTTTAAGTAATCAAAAAGATTGCTTGAAAATATCTTAATTTCCTTTTTTTTTATTTATTTTTAATCGTTATTCAAGCTATCAAGAAGGCTATTCAAGTTTTTTTTTTTTTTTTCACTTTCCATTAATGAAATCAAGAATAAATCTTCTTTTAAAGTCCCAGTCAGTAGAAGTTCAGTTAAAGGTTTAACAAAGATAAACAGGCTAAAGGAATACTGCTACCTAAAAGGCTTTATAAAAACAAACTGGGTAATCAAATTTTGAAATTTTCTGCTTTACTCTAAAACGCAGTGAATAGCTAGTTAAAAAAAATTCTAGAAGCAGTTAATAAGTATACCTCAAAGAGGTTTAATGATTGTATCATTGTTGTTAGAGTATTTTGGAAAAAGTTAGCCTCAGGACTTCAGAAAAGAGAAAAGTATTATGTGTTTGGTTGATGATGGAATATGATTATTATTAACTTTCTAATTAAGTTGTTGCAGTTGAAAAGGTTTGGAAAAAAACCATTTAATTTCAACAGTAGATGTATACTTAATTATTTAAACCGTATAAAAAATGAAGGTTCGCGCAGTTTAAAAATATTTTGAAAAATTATAGTAGTAAGAGATTGCCGATTCAGAGGGATTTTTTATTTTCAACCAAATTTTCAACCATAAATTAATATTAATATTGGGTTAACATTGAGCCATATTGTGTATAAATTATTTCAACAAGAAATAATTTTTTATTTTAAAAAATTGATTTTTTAAAATAAGTGTTAATTTTTATTTCTTGTTATGAAATGTTACGAAAAATTCTTGCATGACGTCACGTGACTTTTCTTCAATAATAAATTTGATCTGGTGTTTTTAACTTTTCTTCTTCTAATCTTTCCTTTTCTAACTTTTCCCATTGTAATTTATTTTTATTTTGCAAATAACGAGCTAAACTTATTCTTCTTTTATAACTTCCTAATTTAATATCTTTAATTGTAAAATCCATTTATTATAATTTATGTAAAGAAATTTATTTTCAATTTTTTTTCTTGTTTCTTATTTATACCATAATTCATGTAAATATTTATACCCTAATTCATGTAAATATTTTACTACTTCAAGATGACCATATTCTGCAGCATTATTAATTGTAAATTCATCACCTTTATAACCTATTTCATGTAAATATTTTAGTACTTCAAGGTGACCTTTCATTGCAGCACAATTAAATGCACATTTATCACCTTTATACCCTAATTCATGTAAATATTTAATTACTTCAAGGTAACCCCTAATTGCAGCATTAATAATTGCTTGATCTGTTCCTTTATACCCTAATTCATGTAAATATTTAATAATTTCAAGGTCATCATTTACTGCAGCATAATTAATCGCACATTCAGAACCTTTATACCCTAATTCATGTAAATATTTTAATATTTCAAGGTGACCTTTCATTGCAGCATAATTAATTGCCCATTCTGTTCCTTTATATCCTTTAGAATGTAAATATTTTATTACTTCAAGGCGACCATTTTGAGCAGCATAATCAATTTTTGTACGTTTATTTTCTTGATTCATTCTTTTTATATACACAAGAAAATTATTTAAATCATTTTCAAATTTTTTTATTTTTTTAATGCGCATGCGCTAGGATTTGCTTACGCGTAGTAGCGCTTATGCGTAGTAGAATTGTCTTAACAATATTATATAGGGTCTCTTATAGCATATAATTCTAGTTCAGTTGCAGTTACTAAAGTAGTTGAACTATTTTCAATGTAATTAGTATATACAGGAAAAACATTAGCAGATCCATCTGTAAAACTGCTATTTGTACACACAGGTGCCCAATATCCACCACCTGTATCTAGTGTAAGTACTGCTCCTAAATTCATCATGCTTTTTGTAGTTGCCAAATTTAATCCGCAAAATCCTTGTCCTGTGTTTGTATTACCGAATGGTGTTTCAGTTGATATGAGTTGTGCAATATTTTGATAATGCATAGACATCATTGGAAGGAATGCTTGTTTAAATATAATACTTTTCCATTCACCATTAATTTTATATCTTAAGCGATATTTATAATATCCATCTTTGTTTTTATAAAAATAGTTATTAGATAACTGACTATATTTTGTAGCTGTAGTTGGATTAGCACTATCATAATTAAGTGATCCATAATAATTAGTTGGAAATAAATCTGTTGGTACTTGCCTAACAATTAGCGTTTCTCCTGATATGTAAAGTGGATAATAAACACTATTAGCATATAAATTATTTTTAGCTGTAATTAATGCATTATAAAATTGTTGAGCTAAAAATATTTGTTGACGTGAGTCGTAATGTACGGTGTCATCGTTTGTAATTCTCATAGAAGGTGGAAGATTAGTAATAGATATGCTTGCAGCGTATGGAATATATTCTCCAATAGTTGAAAGCGCATTTTGAACTGGTGTTGCTCTTGCTGAATTAGCTGAAACCCATCCAGGTCTCATTTGAAAAGTAAGGAATGGAATTGTATTTGATTTTGCTTGGGAATTTGTTAACGTGTAAAACTGATTAGATGAATACCCTATATAATCTCTTATGGTTTGAATAAAGTTTACTAGAATATGTCTATAATTATTATTCCAGCCATCTATAGAATCATTTTCTCCTTGAGCCCAAGTCATACCACAAAATTCTGCGTTATAATGTGATAAAATATATCTAATTCTACGAGTTAAATTTCTAAATCCAGTACCATATGGCATAAAATAATCATCACTAAAACCTCTTGCACCTAACATACATGGAAGTATCATTAAACTTTCATCTGAATGTATTATATTTAATGTGTTTGAAGTATCAGCATCTTGCATTATTAAACCGGCTAGTATTGAACCATATCCAGCATAACACATATTATCTGATTCATTTACTTCAAGTCTAAGAGAACAAGGAAGTAACACATCATTTTGTCCATTATCCATTGCAAATTGTACTATTCGTCTATGCATATAATTTACAGTAGTTATTGCAGCAGAATGACCCCATTCTCTACCATAATAAGTATTTGATTGTCCAGCTACAATCAAAACTTTATATTTACGAGGATAAGGAATTATTCTTTCTATATAATTTGTAATAAATTCATATGTTGAATCAATATATTTTTTTGTAGCAGCGTCCTGTGCATTAGTAGGATCAACTACATTGATCAATTTATGTGAATTCAAATTTATATTAGCACTCATACTATTAGTTCCATCTAATTTTAGACATGCACTGCTAGAAGTTTGATTATTATCAACATAATTTTTTGTAGCTGCATCTTGTGCATCTGTAGGATCAGCTACATTGATTAATTTATGTGAATTCAAATCAACATCAGTAGTGGCTGTATTTCCAACATTAATGTTGATATTTAATCCATCTGTTGTGTAACCATACAATGAATTACTACCGGCTATATTCATACTCATTTTAAATATGTTATATTTTTTTAATTCAATATAATGAGTTTTCAATACTTTGAAAATCAACACCTTCATCAAGCTTTTTTAATACATAAAGACACAAGTGTCCGCAAAAAGAAGTGTCTCCAAACTGAATTCTTTTACTATTATAATAAACAGGACTGTGTAAATATTGAACAAGTTCAACTGGAGGTGGTAGTGCATAAGAATCAAAACTTAATTTTTCTTCTCCATCTTTATACCAACAAATCCAATGAAATCCATTCGTACTTGAATCTCCAGTATTTAATATTCCACATTCTTTGTTTTGTGTATTTTTAGGTAATTCATCTCTTACAAATACACCTCTAAAATTTTTAATTTTTAATTTTTTTGCTGCTTTTATTAATTGAAAGTTTGTTAAGGGTACATTTGGCAATATAATTCCTTCAACATTGATATGTTTGTCCATTTTTATTACTTTATTAGATTTTTTTATATCTCTTTAGATATAAAAAATAACTTACCTGTGTGTTTGCCTGCTTGCCTGTTTATTTCCAATCAATCTGAAATGAAAAGTTGGGTTTGGGTTCCGAAGGAACCAATGTTTTACTCTCTTTTAATTTATAATGTCCATATGCTAATGTGTGAATACCATCTTCTTGAATTACTCTTTTATCATCTTCTGCACTCAATGCTATTTTGTTTATTTCTTCAGTATAAACATCATGTAAATGAGATCTTATGACATTCATTTTTCTCATTTGATCTTTCTTATTTATAAGGCAGTCTTTATAATCTTCATGTGTAATATAATTTTTTACTACATTTCTCTTTACTCCTTTACATCTCTTTTTATCTTCTTCATCTATTTTGTAAGAATACAACTTTGATCTGAGTCCAATAAATTCCGTAATTTGTTTTCCTGCTGACTCATCTTTAAACATTCCTATTACTTTCTTATTTACACCAACTTTAAATCCATTTTGAACAGCTGGATGATCTTTATTAAATTCACTTGTATCAAATTTACTTTCAATATCATTAGAAATATCTTTATAAAAATCTTCTGTTTTTATTTCATAGATTAATGAATCTGTATCTGTATATAATAGTTTAGCTTTATCTCCATATTTATTTTTCATGTAATCATAATGAAATTCGTACATTAGTGTTTTGCTCAAATCTAAAATACACATACCCAAGTAAATGGGTTTG